GTGCTCAATCTGGAAAAACAGTGACTTCATGCAAAGTATCTCTCAAATACCTGAACTTTGAGCCCAGCTATTCGTCTCAGAAGGCCCATTTTACCCACTTGTGCAAGTGGTTGAACGAGACCATCATGAATACTTTATTACAAAATTTTACGTTGCATTCATGGATCCATGCATCCATCTAATGTTCAGTGTAGGTTATGTTAACCATGGCATGAATAAGCCACCCGAGACATCAAAAGGAACCTTGTTTCTTTCGATTATGGATATTTTGTCGTTTTTTGGTCATTTCACTAGATTGAAGCGTCTGCATTGAGAGTTCTGCCAGCTCGGCTGTGTTTAGCATGCAGATGAGCAATGGACAATTGAATTTTCCAGCTTTATGTTCATAATAGTTAATTTTGACTTCAATTTGAGTTTCGAACTTTAACCTCTTAGCTTCGAAGGCATATTGATCAAATTTTTAGTACAAACTCAGTTAAACTCTACGGTACAGTTTGCAAAATTATAATCGTTGCAAGTGCCAGTCCAATTTGGTTCAAAGGACAGGGATAGTGTGTCTACATAAGGCTGATTTAAAGATTATGTGTCTACACAAGCCTTTATTACCGCCACCACCACAGCAAAATGTTTTGCACAAGTTTATCAGAGCCTATATTTGACCTGTAAACTAGTCTAAACCTTTTCTTTGCATTTCTTTTTATATCATATAGCTGAACATTTTGTACTGAATTCTGAGTCCGATGATAATTGCCCTGATGTATGATTATCAGCTAAATTGTTCAGAGTTTAACAGAAATTTTTCAAGTCAAATTGAAGATCTGCCGTTGCTGCTGTGCTTGATTCCTTTTCTAATCTAAGGCCACAGGCCATCAAGCATGGATGATGTGAAACAACATCCAGAAAAGTGGATAATTGGAAACAAATGCAAAATCTGATAATTAACGATGGGAGGTGGCGTTCTTCATAAGCAAAATCTTCAAGGGGTTCACTCCATATATTTTACTCCACAAACTCCAAAATTTTGGATCGAGCTGTACCTGCCTTCAGAGGACAGTATGCAAAAACAGGTGTAAGAAACAATGTCAGTAATGTTATTGCATACATGGCTTGTATAATACACATATGATCTGCTTATTCTGCTTTACAAACAGAATCTATTTTGAATTCATACAATGTGTCTTCCAAATCTGCCGGTTTTCGACTGATTCCTGCAGAAGATTCCTTGAAGTGCGCGATTTTCATGACTAGAGGCAAACGTGAAATTTGGAACTGTAACCTGACGTGCTTCCCGCGGTTGAAGGTTTATATGATGGCAATATAAATGACAAATGTCTTCCTGCATTTAAAGAAAGCAACAAGAATATACAAGTTTTGGTAAAAACAATGCCTCTACACTGAATTTCTGAGGTCCTAATTCTTCGAACGGGAACAGGTTCAATTTTCACTGAAATTTCTTATATCATGAGTGAATCGTAATCGATTCTACAGATATTTCAGCTTATGATTCCACTTTCTCTGTTCATTGAGAACAGCATGAAAAGGAATTTGTCATGCATTGGGTATTAACAAGGTTAATGGTCTTTATATTCATGACACATCTACTTAAGTTCGACACACGTATGACCCTCTTCTATACAGAGCAGCGTTATAAGACATAAGAGGCTCAGCAGCCACGGATACTATTCCTCCTTTGCCATTGTAAAAATATTACCATATATATTATACTACAGTTCTTCTCGTCACTGCTCCTAGTATTTAAACATCGTCTGACGGTGCTGGAGAGGTTGGATTTTGGGTCAGGACTTCCAATTTTGGCAGCAACCCAATCACGGTCATAGCTGTATAGCCATAGCCATTGTATTGTGTCATTGCCATGCTCGATCTGCCTTTCACTTGCACAAAATCAATGGTAAAAATTTAAAATACGCAAATTCAGATGTCTAAAATTTTGAATACATCCCTCAATATTAAATTTTAATAAGGTTTCATCGAAACGAAATCTCAATGGGTGCGTTAAAGCTTCAGATCATTCGAAGTTTGTCCAAAACTTTCTCCAATTCTCTGAGAATCTTCAAATAAGTCGTTTTAGCAACATTTATGCGTAAGGTTTGACTGAATTCATAATGCATTCACGTAATAGAGGATTTAGGGCAAAGATATAATCAGTTTTAGCTAATGAACGAACATTGTGTTAGAGAAACATGCAGTGTGTAAAGATTCATTGCCTGGGGGATCAGCGCAGAATCAGTTTCCATCCACGTCAGTAATTTAAGAGATCAACCCAATGGTGTCGTTTCACCAAACTAAGTTTCTACTGCCTAATTTGGATATATACCTAACTTTTGTCTGGTTTACATCCTCAAGTCAGTACGACCACGTTCTTTCTTCTGTAAATAAGAATACGGCTGTGAGTAAGCAACGAGGATGAAAATTTCAAGAGATAAAGTTTGTGGGCAAAATATTAAAGATATATTTATCTAGCAGTGAATCGAAGAAGGCTGACGATGTCAGGCCAAGTACTATTGATGGGCTCTGCTCTGTCATGATAGTTCTCTAGAGAATTTTATCGCTGTTAAATCTCTTCTTCCGTTCCCGTGTCGAATCTTGAGTATGTAGATGAGGGCGGTTCAAATTTAATACTACGTTGGACGGAATTCAATTCTGTGGGGGTGATGGGAAACCAGTAAAATGAAAAGGAAATAAGAAAATTGGTAGCCCATTATGGCTACGTCCTAAGTAAAGTTTCCACAAATGACACTGGTCAGATGGAGAGGAATAAAGCAAGGGCAGGAAAAGATGGGGTGTTCTTTTTGAACGCGATGTGACATGTATCAAGTACGGTCTTATGCTTTCCTTCCATTATGGTGTGACATGGCCAGAGCGTCTATTTACTGTAGAAATATTATGCTTCAGTTGGCTCACTTTCCATCCTTTACAAGTAGAGAAAAGTTTGCCACTGTGTTGGACAAGAACGAGGTGGCTGCGCGTCGTATATCTGACCGATAGCACAGAAACTGCAGCCATCGTCTGTGTCATTAGCTCTACGAAAAGAGGCGTGACACAAATGGCTCCGTTATGGAAGTGTCAGGGAAACCAACCTCAAAATGGTTACAAACATTCTTTTCTCTTTCACTGGCAAAACAGCGTTTGACGTTTTTACTGTTCATGTATTCCGGCCGTTGTCCCCGTCAACATATTTCTGAGGTTGATTCTCTCTGTGTAGCAAAGAAATGCTTGCACTGCGGCTTTAGCTGCTTAACCATGCCTCCAGTACAGTACGGCCAGAGACCAATGTGTACTCTGCGTTACGCTCGTGCCTGCCTTTGAATCTGCTTTGCCACAGCAACGGCAATGACCGGTTTTTGTTTGAGGAACGACACATTGAGACCGAGTGGCATGCGGCAGCGCTAGGCGGAAATGGAACAGTGTCAGTTCTTGGCTTCCAGCTGAAGGGCACAAGAGGCGCACATGGCAGTAAGCCGGGATTAACCTCTGTCCACGGGGCCCTTTGCCGGACCATTCGCGCTCTAGTGAATCGCGTGTGGCTCTCAGATTATTAACGGGACGCTTAGGCGACGATCTCTTGCCCATTAAACTACCATCTCCAGTAATATACAGTAGCGCCGTTTGATCTTCTTACCTGGTGTTTCCGGAGCGTCCGCGTTCTCTGGGTGGAACTTAGGTGCAAATGAGTAATTCAATGTTCGCAGCGGTTTAAGACCTCATAAAGACAAGATTTAGGGGAGTTGATGCAGTCACACTTCCACCGAATACCAAGCCATAACGT